TGAGTTTACTGTCTTGACAGGACATCATGTTTGAGACATCTAGTAAGTAGTTGGAGATGCAAGACTGGAGGTCAAGAGAGGGGTGGTTGTTGAGCCGTTTTAGTTGTGTCCGACTCTTCATGACCCCATTTGGGGTTTTCTTGTCAAATATACTGGCAAGGCTTGCCATTTCCTTCTCCAGCTCATTTTACAGGTGAGGAACTAAGGCAAAACAGGGTTAAGTGATTTACCCAGGGTCACATAGCTAGCAAATATCTGAGGCCCAATTTTAACTCTGGAAGATGAGTCTTCTTGACTCCAGGCCTGGTTCTCTGTGCACTATGGCATCACCTGGCCATCCAAGAGAGAGATTAGAGCTGGATGAGTAGATGTGAGAGCTATCAGCATGGGGATGATAATTGAATCCACTTGACTAGATCACCAAATGAAATACAGAGGGAGAAGAGAACTGGCCACAACTAGGGTTAGCAGGTATGACCTAGATAAAGATCCAGCATAGGAGACTGAGAAAGAACAGGCAGGCAGGCAGGCAGGAGGATTACAGAGCCTTGTGAACTCGGCTTGGTCTTTGGAATTCCAAACTTATGGAATTGATAATGCAAGAGATCAATTGCTTATTTTGTCTCTAGCCTGAATAGGATTGGAGGGCATCCCAACTGGTCAGGAGACTGAGGACCAGAAGTCTAGAACTGTAGGTTGTATAGCTGGCTAGTGAGTAGCAGAGCTGCAGCTAGATCCCAGGTCTCCTAACACCTAATCTTGTGCTTTTTCTCCTTCCTCCTGATGAAATTTGAAAGTGAATGCATATCATGTATATTTATTAGAACTGTAAAATTATATGCTTTTGCTGGAAGCCTTTGGCATGAGCCCAGCCTCACTTTAAGAAATTTAAATGTATTGACAGCAGCAATAATGTTAATGGGGAAACAGCACCAAAAAATGTCTTACTATACCCCTGCCATCTGCACTGGGATTTGAATAGTGCACTAAAAACAGATCAGTGAGAGTGCCACCAGATTAGACTTGGCAGGAAGTTGCAAAGGTGAGACCCTTTCACAAGAGACACCTTGTCTCTTTCTGTATCTGCCTTGTCGTGGATTGTAAATCAAAACAGGAATGCACTGGTCCATCCCAACGATGATGCTGTTTAGGAGAAAGCCATTCCATAAAATTACTCTTTGGAACTCCGTTAAAAATAATTCATGGCAACACCATCTTCTGCTGAATTCAGTAAATGTTTTTGGAGTGTCTGTACTGTGCTTGGCATTATGCTGTCCTGGGTGCCAGATTTCATTAGGGTCGTTGACAAGCTAGAAGGCAGCCAGGATGTTAAGGTGACTCAGAGCCTTGCCCTAGGAAGATTGGTTGAAGGAACTGGGAGTATTTAATTTCAAATAGAGATGACTTAAAGGGAACCCTAGCCTTTGTGTTCAGCTATCTAGATTGTTGTTGATTGTCCTAGGTTCTCGAAGACCAATGACATCAGGAGGGTGATGTTTTGACCTGCAAGTGAAATGGATTTGTGAGGCAGAGCTGTGCAAAGTCATCGGGCTCACTCTGTCCCCCAGAGTCATCAGAGTCCAGTGGCAAGACATAGGTCAGGACAATTGGAGATGGCCCCCGATGCAGTGGAAGACCGTGGCCTTTGTAAACTGAGGCCTTTCCCAGGTCTCAGTTTGTCTGAGACAATACCCATTTGGTAGTTAAAGGCTAGGTGAGAAGTGAAGTAAAAGATGGTCTACTTTGCCTTCACTAAAGAATCAATCAGGAAGGGCTGATTGATCCAGCAGATGCTGGCTATCCACTGGTTAGGAACTATTATAGGGGTGGATTTACATCTTGGGTAGAGTTTAGACTAGATGACCTGCCAGGGTTTTCCTAACTCTGGAATTCTGTAAGCATCTATAGGAATTATGAAAAGATGGCCAGCCATTTGGATGTGTCTATCCAATAATGCTGTTTACTCCTTCCTCAGCTCTGAGAAAACTTTCTGTCTTGAGAAGGAAGAGATGAAGTTTAAAAAGACATTAACTTATCCTTTCCCAACCACCTCCTGTCCCCATCCATGACAGCTGGGCGGTTGGGATTGAGGTTAGGATTTTTCCTGACCAAAAGCCAACATGTTGCCAAATGGCCCAACTTTGCCTGGGCAGCCCTTATTAACCCTCCATTCTGTCATCCTCCCAAGTGTGTTCATTATCCATGCTGTCCTAGCTTTGGCTTGGTTTGCCTAGTTGCTACTGTTGACATCATTGGTACTTGTATTTTTCCTTGGATACTGCTCCCACCTCATAAGACATTTCTGCTCTCAAGTCAGTGAATGTTATGCCTCTGGCTGGGTTTCTGAGTGATCCCTTCTAGCCTTTCTGATATAACATTTTAAAATAAAACCTGTGTAATTGGTTGTCATTTCTTCCAGTAACCTGACTTCTATTTTCCCTCCTGTTTAACAGCTGACCATCTTTGGGTCAAGGGTCCAAAGACCTGGCTTCTAATCCTAACCCAGCTACATTTAAGAGCTGGATGACCTTGGGCTCAAAATTTTGCCTGGGGCTAGGGAGGGTTAGGATCTTAGTTTCCTCATCTTTAAAATGAGAGGGACTGAGCTAGAGGGCCCCTGAGGGTTCTTGCAGCTCAGAATCTGTGACCCCAGAAAATCAGAGCTTGCACTCTTATCACTGGACTACCCTGTCTGCGAGTCACTTAGTTACCTCTACTGTGAGAAGAGGAAATTAGGCCCAATAATCTTTAAGATTCCTTTCTGCTCTGCCATTCTGTGATTCTCAATTCTTGTTTTTGTTGTAAAGCAATAAACACAGACTGGTGTTTCCCCCGACTCTTCCTTCAGTGGAGGAGCTGTAATTGATCTCAAATATTAGTTTATCTTTGCTAAAATATTTTGACTCGCCAAAATCATTTAAAATGTGTGGTGTGTCGTTTGTTTTTTGTCTTTCATTTTTAAATACACTGTATTCAGGCAATCTTGGAAATGCCTTGCTATGAATAATTAACTGATACAAAATAATCATGAACTACAACCTTTGTTTCAGGGGCTGCCTCCCCCCCGCTTTTTTTAAAGACAAGAACATGAAATCATATCTGTGGCCAGTTATATCTTATTCTGCGATGTGTAAGGTCCTGTACATCTTATCTTAATTGATTCTCACAACAACCTTTTGAGGTGGGCACTTTAGGTACTTATTCCCATTTTACAGAGAAGGAAACTGAGACTCGGAGCTTAAGAGACTTACCCCTGGGCAGACCAGACATAGCTTGAAAGTAGGATTTGAACTTAGGTCTCTCCTGACTCCAGGTTCAGGACTATTATACCACGTTGAGTTCGTGATCCACTAATGCAAGTGAAACTTAGGGTTACAAAATAGAATTCTAGTCTTATCCCTGGCAAACTTGGAAAAGTCTTTTTTCATCTCAGGACCTCAGTTTCCTCATGTGTAAAATGCAAGTGTTAGACTAAATTCCCTTAGTAAAATGTCAGTTTCTGGAGACTAGGGACTGTTTCATTTTCATCTCTGTATTTCCAGTACCTGACATATAGGATGATGGATTTAGATTTGGAAGTTACCTTATAAATTGAATAGGCCTTAGATGCCCTTATTTTACAGATGAGGAAACTGAGGCCAAGAGAGTTTTTATCTTTCCAAATGTCATATAGATAGTAAGGAGCAGAGGAGAGATTTGAACCCAAATCTTCTGACTCCAGATCCAGCATGCTTTCCACTGTACCACACTTATTTTCCATCCTGGACATTTTATTCTGTGATTACCCTTTTCAAAACTGACCTTATGGTGGGACAGATCTAACTCCCACCATGTGGTATTTCCCCTGTCAGATACAAAACCCTGAACTAGATGGACACAGACCGGACTCCCAAAAGTAATTTCAAGTCCTTCAGACATAGAACAATGAAAATGACCTTTACAGACATGAAAGTTCTTCAGTCACAGTAACTCGAATTTAGGATTCTGCTCATTTCCCTGGCAGGCTTGGGCCCATTGAAGAGAAAGCTTACTCACGTGTGATGCCTGAATTCCCAAATCCATATGTGCTGGAGCCCATTTACAAAGCAAGTGCTGAGAAGGAAAAAAGTATATGTATGTCTATGTACACATATATTCTTTAGGAAAAAAACATGTACCAACATGTGTATGTATATATTATATTATATGTCATATTGTATTGTATGTGTGTGTATATATATTTTATTATATATGGAATTATATAGTACATATATGTTGTATATAAATAAATTTGTATATAAATATATATTGTATATATTCACTATTTTATATATATACTATATATATACAATATGACATAATTATGTATGTGTTCAACACACATATAAATAAGGAGACTCTCTTTTTTGTTTGTTTTTTTGCTAAGCAGTGGGGTTAAGTCACTTGCTCAGGGTCATACAAGCTAGTAAGTGTCAAGTTTCTGAGACCAAATTTGAACTCAGGTTCTCCTGACTCCAAGGCTGGTGCTCTATCCACTGCACCACCTACCTGCCTCTGGTGACCCTCTTTCCTACAATTTTACAAGAACAGATACCATGGAAACAAAAAAGTCAACTTCTCTCCCCCAGGTTGACTTTTTTGTTTGCATGGTACCTGTTCTTGTAATATCCCACCTTATTTTATGAAGAAAAAGCAGGATTTTTATCCCATTGCAAGATACTTTGAGCAGCCCTCTCTTGTAGCCTTTATAGTAATTTTCACTTTATCCTTTGTAGTTTGGATATTTGTTTATATTTCATGCCTCTATACTAGATTATATGCTTCCTGGGAGCAAGAATGTATCTGCTTCATCTTTTAAGCATCCACCCGCAGTCCCCAGCACAGGGCCTCCAGAGTCATAATTTTAACCATGTAAACAGGATGATCCTTGGTAAATGTTAGTTGAATGAATCAGTGAATGGAAACTGGTTTTACTTTTAAAGTTCTGACTTGTGTTTTGTATCTGGTTTTTCCTTTTAAAGAGATTATGAAAGAAGAAATAGAAATATCCTTTGAAGACATCCTGGAAAAGGCCAAGGCAGGAGATCCAAAGGCACAGACAGAGGTAACTCCATTAGTTGTTTTGTTTTATATGCAGTTTCAACATTTTAATTGTTTTTATTATAAAAACAAACAAAAAAAGGATGAAATTTAGAATAGGATCACTTGGCCCTTTCCCTTCTTCTCCCCTCCCAGTTCAAAATGCTTATCCCACTGAATAACCACTAGCATCCTCTAGGACTTGCACTTGGGTTCACGCCTCAGTTGAGTCTTCCCTGTGGTCTTGGCCAGGTGTGGGGAACCTGTAGCCTCAAGGCCACATGTGGCCCTCTAGGTCCTCAAGTGCAGCCCTTTGACTGAATCCAAACTTCATAGAACATTGTGTGCTGCACTTAAGGACCTAAAGGGGCTACATGTGGCCTCAAGGCCACAATTCCCCACCCCTGGTCTTGGCCTTTTTTGAGAACATCAGCTGTGTTGGCCCCCCTTAGCCAGAGCTTCCACTCAGTGCATTGTTTCCCTGTTGGCCTTCTTTTTACCATGTTACTTTGTGAGATCAGTGCCTGCCATGCTTCTTGCGGCGAGTCCAACAATTTTATGGACATTTGCCATGTCACCGTAATGATGTCAGCTCAAAGAGAACATCCATTCTTAACATTCCTGTTGCTTCCTTTTTATAAGTCCATTTTTCTCTCAAATACCAAATATGGGAGAAAATACCATTATTCTACTGTAGTGGGAGTGGATAAAAAGCCAGATCATTGATATTGCCATTTTGATGAAAGGACAAGGGACTGACCGTGCTGAAAGATAAATGAGAATTTGGGGCTGTCAAAGGGAAGGCCCTACAGGTAGGTGTGAGCTTGTTTATTATTTTGAGATGCTATTGTCCCCGTAGAGTAAGACTGGTGTTGGTGGCCTCTGATGTTGGCCGACAAAATCACTACCTGTAATACAGTCGAAGCTAAATCACTATCTGAAGTTTCCTTAAAATTAGGTAAATTCCTTTGTTCATAGTCTAACTTGGACAGAGGGTTCCAAGCTTTACTGAACTTACTTAGTTATCCATCACGGTTGAGGTGACTGCCTACTGACACTTGGAGCTTTTTCCTTCAATATCATTCATTCGTTCACCAAACATTTATTAAGCACCTGCTACATGCAGAACACCGTGCTAGGCTCTGAGAGGATATAGAACTGAAGACACATAGACTTCCAGTAGCTCAAGTCTTTTCTTTGTAAATTGACTGAATGTTAGTCGATTTCTGTTAGACCAATAATGAATTTGGAGTACCTTGTTCTTTTTCTAATGTTCCCTTAACTTTGCAGAGATATTTAAAGACAGTCATAATGAAAGATCACTGAATTTGAGGGTTAAATGGCCTGGGTTCTAGTACTGGTTCTAGCAGCAGAGGAAGGTGGAAAAAGCACTGATCTGGGGTCAGAGGACCTGGGTTCAGATCCCACCTCTGACGCATGCCACTTGTGTGTGACCTTGGGCAAGTCATTTTGACCCTCTTAGCCTCAATTTCCTCATCTACAAAATGAGGAGGGTGGCATCACTGTCTTGTCTCCCATTGCTCATGGCCAAGCTCCCTTTTCCCTGATGGAATACAACTCTGTCATTGCCATGGGTTTGCTAGTGGAGGAAAAGAACATGGTACTAATGGGAAAACAAACTTGATTGAATTTAAGGAAAGGATTGGAGTATTCCGAACTCTTTATAAAATTAAACATAATTTCTGCTGATATTGATTCTTCTCCATTTTCCAGGTAACTGAAAGGCAATTAGTTTTTGGGTCTTTTTTTGTTTTTTATATTTTATCTGCATAATGAGGATTCATGGTATTGAGTTGGAAGGCCTGGCTTGAAATTCTACCTTATTCCTTGGTGCTTTTATGGCTTTGGACCAGTCAGTTCCCTTGCCTGGGCCTCAGCTATAAAATAAGGGGATAAGATTGGGAAGCTGATCCCTAAGTTCCTCTCCAGCTCTAAATCCCATGGGTTGGAGGAGCTTCAAGACAAATTACTGCCATTCAAAACAGTTGGTGTCCTTTACTATACCTTCCCTTCAAAGGTGATGCAAACGTATTTAAAATTGGGCACCTGGTAGTAAGTGGCCCAGAGCTGGAAAGAAGTGGTGAGAATGTTGCAGAATCTTCATTAAAAGCCCTGCTTAGCTCCTCAAAGGCCCAACACATTTTGAGTAGGCTAACAAGCTGGACTCTGTGAAATCCCCAGATGGCGGGATTTATCATTTAAAAAAAAAAGTGAACCTGCTTGTAAAAAAGTATAAATACTTAGAGTATAGCTCCCACACTCTGACTTTCATTAGTCATTTTCACAGGGCACCAGCAGATGTGGCATAAGGAAGAATCTACGGTAGTAACTTGGGGTGGGTTGATGAAGAGAAAAGCAAAAGTGTGTAGGCCCGGACTTGCTTTTAGCCTCAGAAGAGAGAATTAAATAACCAAAGTTCCCATTTACTATAAAATATTTGATTGACTCATCAAGGAAAAAGTGTGAAATTTTATCATACTTATCCAGGCTTAAGGTTGGAGCACAAAATCATGTATGGATTTTACCTGGACGTGTATAGTTATATTATGATAACATCAGGTCCTGTTTCCAAGTCAGTTGACTTGGATTTGAATCATGCCTCTGACACATAATGACTGTGTGACCTTTGGCAAATCACTTGACCTCTGTGGTCCTCAGTTGTGAAATGAAAGACTTAAAATCATTTCCAACCTTCCAGCTTTAATTCTATGATCCTATTTTTTGTTGTTCTGTCATTTCAATCATGTCTGAATCTTTGTGACCCCATTTGGGGTTTTCTTGGCAAAGATGCTGGAGTGGTTTCTCATTTCCTTCTGCAGCTCATTTTACAGATGAGGAAACTGAGGCAAACAGGGTGAAGTGACTTGCCCAGGGTTACACAGCTAGTGAGTGTCTGAGGCCAGATTCGAACTTACAAAGATGAGTCTGCCTGACTCCAGGTCTAGCAGTCTATCCACTGTGCCTCCCTAAAATGAAGAGGTTTGACTGTGTGGTCTCCAAAGTCCTTGCTGTGATATTCTCTTTTAATTTTTCTCTGACTCGGACTTTGAGGTCCCAGGAGATGGACAAACTGAACTATCAGAATTTTTGGCCAATACCGAAATAGACGTTTGTACATTTCAGGATGAGAGCATGGGAGAATGACATTGGGAATGAGAGGTTCAGTGGGTACAAAGTATCCAGGGGGCTAAAAGGATATTGAGTGGGGACCACGAGTAGGAAGGAAGGGACAGGAGATTGGAATATGTGGAGTGGGAATGGTAACAGGCACTTGGCGGGTGATTGGTCTCCAGAGAGGGTAAGGTGGTGGGCCAGAAAGGTCATGGAAGATGCTGAGCTTGGTGTATAAACCAGCTGAGGGTTGTGTTAACTCAGGGGCTGGGCATCATCTTCTGCTGGGTTCCTAGGTGGGGAAACACTACCTGAAATTAGCAGATGATGCAGATGAAGAGCTCAACGACTGCAGTGCTGTGGACTGGCTAATTCTTGCTGCAAAGCAAGGCCGGCGAGAAGCTGTCAAGCTGCTGCGTCGGTGCCTGGCGGACAGAAGAGGTGAGCATGGGGGCACTTCACTTAAAAAGCATCGTGTGGACCCGGACAGAGTGTTTTGTTTAATTTTAGAGAAGAAACTCCAACCAGATGCCCATAATTTATTGAAGTATTTTCCCCAGTATTTTCTTAATGTTATTGAAACTAAGTAAAAATATGAATAGTCTCTTAATAGAGTTCGTTTGGTTGGTGGGAGGAGGGGGAAGTATTGGAGTAGGGGAGAGAAGGAGCTTATCTTTGCTCGGAGACATAAATCACCTTGGCCAAGGACTTTGAAACTAAGTTGATGGAGTAATAAATTGTCAGCTCTTGTCTAATGACTTCCTGGCAATGTGGGATAATGGTGGTTATTGTTCTTTATTGTCTTTTTTTTAGGCGTCACTTCGGAAAATGAGCAGGAAGTGAAAAAATTGTCCTCCGAAACCGATTTAGAGAGGGCTGTGCGAAAAGCTGCCTTAGTCATGTATTGGAAACTCAACCCAAAGAAGAAAAAACAGGTGGCAGTTTCGGAGCTTCTAGAAAATGTTGGCCAAGTCAACGAACAAGGTAAATAGGTACCAGGAACAATTTACTAAGGAAGACCAGCGTCGTACACAGTAGTAGCAAAGGTCTGAGTTTTAAGTCAGACAGGCCTGGGTTCTAGTCCCAGCTTTGGGCGGGTAAGTTATTTTTTGATAGCCATTTTCTCATATGTAAAATAGAGGTGGTAGTATTACCTACTTCAGCAGATTGTTCTGAGAGTCAAATACCCATGGGAAAGTGCTTTGTAACATTAAATTATATGCTGTACATAAAATGTCAAGGCTAGGAAGGATCTTAGAACAAAGAATGTCCTAAGATAGAGTTGGGGGTGAGAGTGGGGAAGGGACCTTAGAACATAAAATTCAGAGGTTAAAAAGAGTTCTTTAGGTCATAGAATACGGACTAGGAGAGTCTTTAGAACCAGAATTTCAGAGGTGAGAGAGACCTTAGATCATAGAATTCAGAACTTGAAGGTTCCTTATAACAGAAAATTTCAGAGCTGGGAGGGTCTTTAGGACATTAAGTGTCAGAACTGGGAAGGTCCTTAAAACATAGAATTCAGAGTTCAGAGGGTCCTAAGAACATAGAATTTCAGATCACATAGTATTTGAGTTGGGTGGGACCTTAGAACATAGACTATCAAAACTGAGAAGGTCCTTAGAACATAGAATGTTAGAACTGGAAAGGTCCTTAAAAAATAGAATTCAGAGAAAGAGTCCTTAATACATAGAATTTCAGAGTTGGGAGGGACATTAGATCACGAGTTTTAGAGTTAGGTGGGATCTTGGAACATAGAATGTTGGCAATAGGAGGGTCCTTAAAATATAGAATTCAAAATTCAAAGCATGCTTAGAACATAGAATTTCAGAGCCAGGAGGGACATTAAAACACAGGGTTTTAGAGTTAGGTGGAGCCTTAGAACAGCTGAGAGGGTCCTTAAAATATGGATTTCAGAGCTCAAAAGTTCCTTAGAACATAGAATTTCAGAACTGGGAGAAAACCTCAAAAGCATAGAGTTGAGTAGGACCTTAGAACTTGGAATGTCAGTGCTGGGAGGGACCCTGGAATTCATTTAATCCTGTCCATCTGTCTATCTATCTGCATATATGTACATATACATATATATGTGTGTATATATGTTGTGAGTGTGTGTGTGTGTGTGTGTATATATGATATAGGAATCCTCTGTAACAGACTGCATAAAATACATACTCAAGATCCCACAATGCAAAAGGTTAAACAAGAAGTATTAATTTGTTAGGATAATATTAGTACTCTCATCGCATTACATTTGTCTAATACTTTACAGCTGTAGGGCACCTCCCCTTCTATCATCTCATTTGGCCCTCACGTCGAAGTAGGTAGGATTATCCCCATCTTCAGGGGAGGACGCCAAAGCTCTGAGGTTAACTTTGACTCTCTAAGTGTTAGAGGAGTTGACAGGAAGTCTAACTCGTAGCGGGTAGTCAGGGAATTCAGGGAAGGAGAGGAATTTAGTTGGGCCTTGCCTTGAACAGTGAAAGTTTTTATGCTAAGTGGAGGTGGGGACTTGGAGGTAATTTTTGCTTCATAGAACTGCTTGCAGACCTTGTCGCTCAGATGTTTGTTCACTGGATGACTGAGTTTGATTTTTAATAAACTCTCGCTGTCTTACAGATGGTGGAAAGCAGCCCGGCCCCATTCCAAAATCAATCCAGAAACAGCGAAGAGTGCTGGAGCGGTTAGTCAGCAGCGAATGTAAGCACAGACTTCTTGTCTGCCCTCCCTCTTTTAATTTAAGCACCTCTTTTCTGCACACACGCCTTCTCTTCTCTTAGCTCTATGTCAGATTCACCAGAGTTCCCTGTCCCTTCACTTCGTCTTCTGTCTCTCTGTAAGGAAGGCCTTGACATTTCATCCAGTCTAATAATTTCCAGAGATGACTGAAGAATTGGTATTGTTTATTTGGAATGATCCAGCTTACTTATATTCTCTGGGTCCTTTGAAAAGAGCTAAATTCAAAAGTCCTGTCCAGCTCTGACATTCCATGTTCTAAGATCTTTCTCAACTCAAACTCAAATCTTCTGACTCCAAAGCCGATGAATGCTGTTTATGTTATGCCACCCTTTAAAGAGAGATATTCAGGGAATCTGAAGCCCTTTGGAAAGTAGTGACCTTTAAGTCATTTTAAAAGAAAAATTGTGTTCATGAGTAAGAACCTGATCTCATAAAAAAAGCCACACTCTGAAGATACTATGGATTTTTCATTTAAAAAAATAATAATAATATAATAATACTTCTGTAACACCTTAAGAGTTAGAAAGCAGTTTTCCTCATAACAACCTACTGAGGTGGGTAGTGTAATTATTCCCATTTTATAGATAAAGAAGTTAAGGGCCAGAGAGAGAAGAACTTAACTACTTGGGGCACATAGCTAGAGACGGAATTGTAAGCCAAGTATCCTGCCTCCCAGTCCCCTTTGGAGGAGTGAGGCTGATGACTGCAAGCTCTGCCTCACTTCAGTCCAATTCACCAGCAAGTCAAGGCATTCCCCTCATGATGTCATTGGTCCTCTTTGAGAACGGAGGACAAACGACAACAGCAAATAGGAACGGACATCGGGGACCGTCTAATCCAGCCAATACCTTCTTCAGGCTGTCCTCCCTGCAACATACCTGGAAAGCCTTAACTGCTTGAAGGCCTCCATTAGGAGGAACCCACTACCTCCTAAATCAGCTCATGTTTTACTGCTGATGATCTCAGGTTAGGAAGCTTTTCTCTCTCTCAAGTTTTATCCATCAATCCTGATTTCTACCCAGTGCTTCTTTTTCTTCTCTCTGGAGGTAAACAGGGTAAGTGAAATCTCTCTTTTGTGTGATGGTCCCTCAAATACCCATAGCTGTCATGTCCCTCCTAAGACTCTTTGGGCCTAAGACCAGGTCCTCATACTGCGTGGTATCTTCAGTGCTTTCATTTTCCTAGATAACATTCAGTATGAGGACCTAGTGAAATAACTGAGAATATAGTTGGTCAAGGGGTCCAAATTGTCTTTCTGGAACTAAATACAATATTCCAGGTTGGTCTGACCAGGCCAGGAATGTAATGGAAGTCTCCTTTCATTCGGAACCCTGTGCTAGTCTCAATACAGCTTAAGCAAACATTGGATTTTCTTTCTCCCATGGACATGGAATAATGTCTTTGGAGTCAGGATACTTGGGCTGGAGTTCTGCTTCTCACATATATTAGTTGTGAGCCCAGGGTGGATCATTCCACCTCTCTAACCTTTAATTTCTTCCTCTATAAAATGGGCATAACTATACTACCCACCTCACCAGATTGTTATGAAGAAAGTGCTTTCTAACTCCTAAAGGACTAAAGAAATATGATCGGGTATTATCTTTATGAACAATCCATAGATAGTAGTCTTCTTCATTATCCCTATAAATGGATAAGAAGGATGAGACTTTATGGGAAGAGAGATAGAGTTCACAAGAGATCATTAGCACAGTGCCTGGTACCTAGTAGGCATTTAATAAATGCTTGTTGACTTGACTTAGTTGTGAAAGTTCTTTGTAACCAGAGAGTACCATGAGTCTTACTCCTTTGGTATCTCTTAAATGCCCTTGCAAATAATTACAAGATTACCAGCCTATCTCATTTTTTCCTTCCCTCTTCTGAAGTACCAAGGAGGTAAGATACATGCAGTGATGACAACAGCTTGAATTTTACAAGGTGCCTCAAGATTTACAAATAACTTTCCTGAGACAGCATAGTGTAATATCAGTGATGATGATGATGATGATGATGATAGCATTTATATAGCACTTTGAGGTTTGTAGAGTGCCTTACAAATATTATCTCATTTGATCCTCACAACAACCCTGGGCAGTAGGTGCTGTTATTATCCCTATTTTACAGATGAGGAAACTGAGGCAGGCAGAAGTTAGGTGATTTACCCAAAGTCACATAGCAAATAAGTGTCTGAGGCTGGCTTTGAATTCAGGTCTTCCCAACTCCAGGTCTATTGTTCTGTCTCCTGAGCCACGGAGCGTTGGACTCAAAGTCAGGAAATCCAGGGTTCAAATCCTGCCTCTGAGACTTACTAGCCATGTGACCTTCAGCAAGACATTTAACAGCTCTGTGCCTCAGTTTCTTCCTTTAAAAAATGAGGGGATTGGACCAAATGACCTCTAAGGCCTCATCCAACTCCGAATCTGTAATCAGTCCTGTGATGTGATGTGATGTGATCCCCATGTCACCATTCAAAAACCGCTAGAAAGGGAAACACGTTGATTTTAATTCAGCACAAAAATGCTAAAGTTTATACTCATGATTAATTAGCATGATTAATGTAATGATTAACTAGTATGATTAATTTATTCTAATGATTAATTAATATTAGTAATGATTCATTAAGTTCATGTATACTAATGCTATACTATTTTATTCTTTCCGGAGGGCAGGTTTAGCGAGGGGAGACCCTGGGGTGAGGCCGCAGGCACAGAAAGGAGTCTGTCATGGTTGGATAGAACCCCTCCGACAGCTCGATGACGTCCCTGGTCCCTTCCAGCTCTGACATTCTCTCTCAACTGCACTGTTTTCCCTCAGGCCATCCCCGCCTTTGTCCCCTGAGTGCTTGGGCTCATGGCCTGGTTGCCTGCGGCCTCCCTTGCCACTATTTTCCTGCTCTTGGTCACTCCCCCTCACCCCCCAAAACTACCCTTTCTCAGGAAGAAAGTCATCCTGCCCAGCGGGTTGCTGCAGCCTTGATTCCTCTGGCCCAGCGTCTCAGGGGACCATGAAGGAATCTGGCCGGGAATTTTACTGCAGGTTTAAGTAGCAGCTGAAGTAACAGAATAGTAAATGAAGCCACACGTTCCTGGGGGCAGGCATTGGTCCCCCCTTTAAAAAAATAGGAGGATGTGGGGGGAAATCTGTCATCAAAAAATTGGGGAAAAAATCTCAGAAGAATACAAGCAAGAGAAAATTCTGAATATCAATTTTAAATTAAAAAAACAAAACTTTTTGGTGTCAGGTTCCTAATGGCATTTTGAACAGAAAAGTTTCTGTAAGACAGTTAGAGTAGGAGGTTGTTAACTCTTCCTGACAACAGAATTGGAGAAAGAAAGTGGAGATTACGGGAAATAATTCCTCCCATTCCATTCGGCTTTGACTTCCAAACAATATGTGATTTGTGTTTTGTTAATGGAGTCTTATGGGTGGCTCTTTTACCGACTAGCAGCGTGACCCTGGGCAAGTCACTTCCTTTCTCCCTGAAGACAGCTAGATTGCACAGTGGTTAGAGCACTGACCGGACATGGAGTCAAGAAGCTCAAGTCTGGCTTCAGACACCAGCTGGGTGACCCTGGGCAGGTTACTTTACCTCTGTCTGCTTCAGTTTCTTCATCTGTAAAACAAGGATCATAACAGCACCTCCCTCTCGGGGCTGCTGTGGGAATCAAACGAGAGAATATTTGTGAAGCATTCTGTGAACCTTAAAGCACTATATAAATGCTAGCTGTTGTTTTGTTATTAGTATTATTATCATTATTATTTCTCTGGCCCCGGTTTATTTCTTGGATTAGGGTAGACATTTGCATCATTTTGTTGATTTCTAAGGTTCTTTCCAATTTGGGAGTCTGATCATTTAGATAAAATAGTACCCTATGCAGATGCAGTGCTGGGCTACTTTTTGAAGCACTTTCAAAGTCTTGTTTCTTTGAGCTCATCATTCTCATCAGTTTGCCTTCCTTACTAACTGCAGGGCTCAGTACGAGATGCCAAGGGGGCTAAGACGCAATGCCTGCCCGCTAAGAGCTTGTGGTTTAGCTGGGGAGACTTCATGCATGTATGAACACACACATGCACACGTATATACACACATATGTGTGTGTGGGTGGGTGGCAGCTAGGTGGCTCAGTGGGTAGAGTGCCAGACCTAGAGTCAGGAAGGCCCAAGTTCTGGCACTCTATCCACTGCACCACCTAGCTGCCCACTCACTTGCATACCTCCGGGTAGACAAAATGGCTGGACTGGTTGATGTACAAGCTGTTACCGCTGGTGACCATGGTTTTCTTGCCCTTTCTGTCACGCATTTTGTAAGGGAATAGCCTTAGCCTGGTACTTGGGGCTGACGGGCCTCTCCAGTTACCATTCACTGCCTCCGATGACGAGATAGCAGCAGGATCCCAAAGCAGCTCCCGCCACCACGTGGCACGGAGGCAGTCATTAGTAACTCTCCATTTCACCTTCCTGTGTATCATTTTCTTTTCCCATCTCTTCTTACAAAACTTTTGCCTCCCACTCTTCTCTGTATGCTTTTCCCAGCCCCTTTTAAAGTTTAGGTTCCAGCAAGCATTTATTATAATAATGGCAGCGGCTGACACGGAGATAAGCTCTCCGAGTACCTTATCTCATAGCATCCCCATGACAGCCTCTCTAGTGAGTACTACAGGGATGATTATCCTCCTTATAGGGCGTAGGAAGCAGCCTCAGAGCTAGTAACTATTGGAGGCAGGACCCGACTCCCTGACTCCAGGACCACAGCTCTTTCCGTGTCCAGTTATCTCCATTTCCCTCCCCAAATGTTGTCTACAATGCTCCAGAAACCTTTTCACCCTGGAAGCACATTAGATGGCAATGTGGATAGAGTACTGGCCCTGGAGTCAGGAGGACCTCAGTTCAAATCCAGCCTCAGATACTATCTGTGTGACTCTGGACAAGTCACTTAACCCCAAATGCCTCCCCCCAACCCTCCACGCCTGTAGCCTATCCCTCTGATGGTCTGGTTCTCCCCAGAATCTCCATTTGTAGGAGGATGCCCAGTCCGGCAATGTCTTCATTTATCTTCAGGCTGCACACCTTACTGTCCAGCTCTTGCTCCTCATTGTTTCTGCTCTGGCACCTTCATCTCTTCCCCCACCCTCACCCCAAATTTTCAGCTTTCTTTTATGTCTTCCGTTAGACGGTAATCTCCATGAGGGTAGAAGGCTTTCTTTCTGCTTATATTTGTTTTACCAACACATAGCACATAGTAAGTGTTGAATAAATATTTGTTAACTCAGCTTGATGTTTTCCGTGACACCTTACTTCCTTTAAGTGTTTGATTGTTTCCAGAGCACTGTTCTGAGTGCTAGGACAGACACAAAGTTTAGAGAGGACCCAGTCTCTGCCTGCATGGAGCTCACAAGCTAGTAGGGAAGATCACCATGGACAGAAATAACAATACAAAAGATCTCCTAAGTGCTAACTGTAGAGAGGTCCAGACCAGGTACTGTGAGAAGGTCAGGGGCCTTCTTTCAACCTCAGATGTTCCCTTTCTGTTCTAGGGCTGGCTTGCCCATTGTTTCTATAAAGGGCACACTTTGATTTATTTGCTTGTGTGGTCTTCTCTCCTAACCTAGCTAAGAACTACGTCGCCCTGGATGACTTTGTTGAAATAACCAAGAAGTATGCCAAGGGAATCATCCCCAGCAGCCTTTTTCTGCAGGACGATGATGATGATGAGCTGGCAGGAAAGAGCCCAGAAGACCTCCCCTTGCGCCTGAAGGTCAGTGAGAACTTGGGTCCCCTCCCCACAAGGAAACGTCAGACATGCCAATCTTCCTTTTTGTTAAATGAAGTTTGGGGGGGGGGGCGGCTAGGTGGCGCAGTGGACAGAACGTCAGTCTTGGAGTCAGGAGGACCTGAGTTCAAATCTGGCCTCAGACACTTGACCCTTACTGGCTGTAGGGGGCAGCTAGATGGCACAGTGGGTAGAGCACTGGCCCTGAAGTCAGGAGGACCCAAGTTCAAATCCGGTCTCAGACCAAACACTTAACAGTAGCTGTGTGACCCTGGGCAAGTCACTTTACCCCAATTGCCTTAAAAAAAAAAAAAACCCAATAAAATGAAGTTGATGGTGGTGGATGAGGTGACCTCAGTGAGGCCCCGGAGCTATGATCCTTATTGAAATAACTGAGAGGAAGGAGGGTCGCTGGGTACATTTGCAACATGGCTGCACATGTGTATTAATAATTCCCCCAATAGGGGCAGCTAGGGCACAGTGGATAGAGCTCTGGATTTGGGGTCAGGAGGACCCGAGTCCAAATATGGCCTCAGATATTTGACACTTACTAGCTGTGTGAACCTGGGCAAGTCACTTAACCCCACTTTAAAAAAAAAAAAAAGCAAAAAAAAAAATTCCCCCTATAGTAACGATGATAATAATGGAACCAATATAGAACTCGGTATAGAACAGTTGGCAAAGAGTTTTGCATTCATTATCTCATTTAAACCACACAGCCCTTCAAGGGGAATATTGTGGATACCGTCCCCGTTCTGGAGAAGAAGAAACTGAGGCTTAGTGGGGTGGATTAATCCGGATTGATCTTGTTCACACATTAGCAGGATTTGAATTCAGATCTTCCTGATACTTTGTCCACCATAGTGTGCTACCGAACAGTGTCCAGGTGGGCTCTAACCCTTGAAGGCTTCCCCAAGGCTCATATAGAAAGGGGAGTAGTGAATGATGAGTCCAGGGTGTTCCAAAAGGCACACTGCTGTCTGGAGCTATTAAAGCTTAAAACTGAGATGCTGTATTTTATCCTAGAGGCAGAAGGGAGCTACCAGTTTATTGAGGAAAGGAAAGGAGATCTCACCATTGAGGAAATGGTGAGATCTACACATAAAGGAATGATGTATTTCACTATGAGCTGTGCTTAGGACCTCCGTTTGCTGGGGAATCAGTCTCTTCCTGGAGCTAAGCCAGGGCAGTGCTGCCCCTTTGACCTGGGGATTCCTCTTCGTCTTGTCTAAACCTTGCTAATTTCTGAACTCTGGCTTGAGACACAGTGCTCTAATCTTGATCCCCAGAACCTGGGTTCCCATTTGGTCACTTGTTCCCCTTTCCTCTGCCCTGTGGATGCCTGGGGTGCCCTGGCACAAGCATAGCACCATCCCTGGGCTGTGGTGGGCACAGTGCTGAGCTCGGCAGTCAGAAGACAGGGTTCAGATCCCAGCTGTGTAACTTAATACCCATACAAGTCACTCAACGTCTGGGAGCTCAGGCTTCGTCAGTAAAATGGGGATTATAATTCTCACCTTACCCATTTTACAGGGTTAGAAAGAAGGAATGAGAATGTGTGTTAAATGCTTTGTAAGCTTTAAAGCGTCATGTGTTAGTTACTGGTATTATAACACTTGTACTAAATATACCCAAGTTGTTAGGACAGAGTGCTAGAGGACTTTGTAATCCTTAAAACACACTATGAAAATGTGGGTAATGGTTATCACTGTTAATAACAATAATAATGATATTACTACAACCTCAAAATTCCAGACTACAAAAACATAGTTTAGTCATACAGGGTTTGGTCATAAGGGAAAAGAACATATAATTCAACAATATGCAAGTGTCAGGCAATCAGAAGTATGCATAAGACAGTGCTACCCCCATCCAGCCTAGGGTAGCTTCTGACTCTTACTAAGTTATGTGAAAGCTTATCTCATTTATCCCAGCTAGGTCTTTTGTCCCCTTGATCTCCTCTAAGGCTCTGGCACACCATCTTCCCATTTCTCCTCAAAAAAGATAAATAATAACAATAGTAATAATAGTTAGCATTCGTTTAGCACTTTAAAATTTGCAAAACAATTTATGCATATTGTCTCATTTTATCCTCACAGCAACCCTGAGACATAGGGTACTATAATTATCCCCATTTTTCAGATAAGGAAACTAAGGCAGGCAGACATGACTTGTCAAGGGTCACACAGGTTAGCAACTGAGGCAGGCTCTCAATTCAAGTGTTCCTAACTCCAAGTCAGCCACTCTATCCGCAACGACACCTAGCTGCCTCTTTCTGCCCTGAACATCTTCCATGTAATTTTGGTATTTGCTCCCCACTCAGGGTCTCTGGAAGGAATTCATTTGTCCATTCTGTCATCACAGGCTCATCCTTTGCCTGTCAGGAAGGTTTTTGACTACTAGCTGGCTTCTGGTGCTTTTAATCACACAGATTTTATTATGTGCTTTCTATATGCCAAGCACTATACTAAATACTGGGGATAGAAGGAAAGAGAGAGACACACACACACACACAAGGAGTTCACATTCTAATAGAGGGAAAAAACACATCTGAAAGGTTCCAGATTCAGGGTGCATAGAAAGGTCTAGAAATCCTAAGGATTTGGTGGCAGATTGTTGAAGAGACCCAGGTGTCCTTCAGATGCATCAGCGGGGCAGATGGCAATGCCTGGGTGGAAAAGCAGAGCAGCCGGTAAGGCTCAGAGGAATCTGTGCCCAGAGGTACCCTGGAAAGAGATTTATTTTCCACAAATGCTCCATTAAGTAGAAGGCTAGGGTTTGCCTTTCTAGAAAGCTTTGGAAGTTTGATTGAATCTGCCCCTTTAAATGTCTGGAAGTGTTTTGTTATGGTTTTTAGAGGAAGAATGGGAGGAAATGTTTCTTATGACATGTTTCCCATCTTGAACTTTGGTTGCCACACACACACACACACACACACACACACACACACACCCCTTAAAATTCATTTTCTTCCTTCCTAGGTTGTGAAATACCCACTTCATGCCATCATGGAAATCAAAGAGTACCTGATCGACATGGCTTCCAAAGCAGGCATGCATTGGCTCTCCAGCATAATCCCAACCCATCACATCAATGCCCTCATCTTTTTCTTCATCATTAGCAACCTGACAATTGACTTTTTTGCATTCTTCATCCCATTAGTCATCTTCTACCTGTCTTTCATTTCCATGGTGATCTGCACCTTGAAGGTTTTTCAAGATAGTAAGGCCTGGGAAAACTTTCGGACCCTCACTGACTTACTGCTGCGCTTTGAGCCCAATTTGGATGTCGAGCAAGCCGAGGTTAACTTTGGCTGGAACCACTTAGAGCCCTATATCCACTTCCTGTTGTCTGTGTTCTTTGTCATTTTCTCTTTCCCCATAGCCAGCAAAGAGTGGATCCCTTGCTCAGAGCTGGCCGTCATCTCCATTTTCTTCACGGTGACAAGTTACATGAGTTTGAGTACTTCAGCCGAGCCTTATACCAGAAGAGCATTGGTGGTTGAAGTCACTGCTGGACTGCTCTCCGTATTGAGGACTTTTCCTGTCGATTGGTACTATCTGAAATTCCTTGGTCAAACATTTTTCACTGTGCCCATAGGCCACTTTATCATACTGAATGTGAGTGTCCCATGTTTCCTATTTATGTACCTCTTTTACCTCTTCTTTAGGATGGCACAGCTGAGGAATTTCAAAGGCACTTACTGCTACTTGGTCCCTTACTTGGTGTGTTTCATGTGGTGTGAACTCTCTGTTGTCATTCTGCTTGAGTCCTCTGGTCTTGGTCTTATCCGAGCATCAGTTGGCTATTTTCTCTTCCTCTTTGCCCTCCCAATTCTAGTAGTTGGCATTGCCTTGATGTGCATTGTCCAGTTTTCTAGATGGTTTGTCTCCTTGGAGCTCACCAAAATCATGGTCACCCTGGTTCTGTGCAGCATACCCCTGCTCTTACGCTGGTGGACAAAAGCCAGCTTCTCTGTGGTTGAGATGGTGAAGTCCTTAACCAAGAGCTCCATTGTCAAGCTTATCCTTGTGTGGATCACAGCCATTGTGCTCTTCTGTTGGTTCTATGTCTACCGATCAGAAGGAATGAAAGTCTACAACTCCACTCTGACCTGGCAACAGTATGGCTTCCTGTGTGGACCCCGGGCCTGGAAGGAAACCAACATGGCACGCACACAGATTTTGTGCAGCCACCTGGAAGGACACAGGGTCACGTGGACAGGACGGTTCAAATACGTCAGGGTTACCGATATTGATAACAGTGCTGAGTCTGCAATAAACATGCTCCCATTCTTCATTGGAGACTGGATGAGGTGCTTATACGGCGAGGCCTACCCCAACTGCCTCCCTGGAAACATTAGCACCGCGGAAGAAGAGCTCTGTCGGCTCAAATATCTTGCCAAACATGAATGCCACATTAAAAAGTTTGATAGGTACAAATTTGAAATAACGGTGGGCATGCCTTACAGCAACACTGGAAACAAGACCATTGAAGAAGATGATATTACCAAAGATATCGTACTGAGGGCCAGCAGCGAGTTCAGAAACATCTTGCTGAATCTGAGACAGGGCAGCGTTATTGAATTTAGCACAATTCTCGAAGGTCGACTTGGCAGCAAGTGGCCAGTCTTTGAACTGAAGGCAATCAGCTGTCTCAACTGCATGGCCCAACTTACCCCCGCTAGGCGACACGTGAAGATCGAGCGTGACTGGAGAAGCGCCGTACATGGCGCCGTTAAGTTTGCATTTGACTTTTTCTTCTCTCCCTTCTTATCAGCAGCTTGATCGGGGTCGCAGCCTATCCAATGGGTAGTGCCATTCAGTATACCTAGATTACACTGTTCCTATTATTCTAAGCTTGACTTCTTCACCAGGCTGGCTGTAACATTTCATTTAGAACTGTGTGTTAATTCAGCGTGTTGATTCTGTACCACTGGCATTTCCTAATGAACTTGGTGAAAAAAAAACTATTTAACTTTTTCTGTTTATGAATGCAGACTATCATTGGAAATTGCATGCACACAGGCTTATCTAAAGCCCAAAAGTTGCTGTGGTCATTGGAATAAAAAAAAAAAAAATGCTTGATATTAAAAGCACTTTATAGGCGATACCCCTCCCCTGTTATATACCTTTGGATTTATTGTTGTTGTTATTGTTTAAAAATATGAACCGAAAATATCTGGTGTGCAAGTAAAGTTATATTAATTTGTATTTATTCAGTTGTCAATACTAGTTTTAACTGTATTCTGAGTGTGGTGACATATAGAACTAACTGAGCTCGGGTGGGTTTTGAATTGATCTCTGAGTTTATTTCACACGCCAGATTTCAGTGTACGTACAGCGTATTGCCTTGAATGGTTTCAAAATCCTGTATAAAATGACTACCGTGTATGGGAATGTGCCAAGTCTAATCTATATTGATTTGTGAAATACAGCTCAGCGCTGGGCGCTCTGCCCCAAGTATTCACAAAAGTTTGGTGATCTTTAATGCTGTACAGCAGAAAAATCAGGGGACAGAAGAGGCTGAAATAAAACATTTGTGGTCATATCCTTGGTTGGTGTGATTTGAAAACTTTCTTGCGGCATACGAGCACAAAGAATAGAAACTGATTTTGCCTGATTCGGGACACTTGATTTTAAATACAAACAACTTAAGTACTTTTGTCCATAGACCTTTTTTATTCTTGGAAAAATGAGCACCAAGGTGAAAGGTGCCGAAAACTAATCAGTCAATCAACAAGCATCCATTAAGCATTTTTCTATGTGCTGGGGATACGAAGAAAGACAAAAACAGCCAGGGCCCTCCAGGAGCTTACATCCCAATAGAGGAAGCAACATACACATATACAGGTATAGACAAGATGCACTCAAATTATATACAAAGTAATCTTAGAGGAGAGATTGTCTTAGTAGCTTGGAGAACCAGGAAATGGCTCTTGCAAAAGGTGGCTCTTGAGCTGAGAAAACCAGGAAAAATAAAAGATGGCGGTGAGTAGGGAGGACACCCTGCTTACCCTGTTCAGTTATAGACACAGATGAGATGGACAAAGTCATGCATGAGGAACAGCAAGTAGACTAGGCTGGACCGTATAGTGTGTAGAGGAAGTATTGTACAAGAAGACTAGAAAATTGGAAAGGGACCAGATTGAAAAGAGCTTTAGATGCCAAAAACAGTTTATATATGATCCTAGAGGTTAATAATAGAAAAGCTCACTGGAATGTAAATAATGGGATGACATTCTTATTTAATATATTTTTGGAATATGACCACAGTGGCCTGAAAGAAGTATGTTTAAGTGTGTCATAAATATACTCTGTGTGTATATTCAAGTTCAATTTAACAGACATTTATTAAGCACCTACTATATGCAAGCACTGAACTGAAATAAAACATCTGAGGAACTTAAATCTCTCTGACTATAACTCTTAGATATGAATATATATACACAAAGTAATTTCAAAAGGGCAAATCAGGAAAAGCTTTGTGTAGGAGGTGACGGCAGAGACGTGTTCTAAAGGAAGCCAGGGACTCTGAGGCAGAAATGAGAAAGTGCATTCCAGACATGGGGGACCACTTTTGCAATGCCATGAAGGCAGGAGATTAAAAGTTGTATATTGGGAACTGGGGTTGGGATAGAGAGTGTTTGAAGACAGAAATATATGAAATAAGAGGAGAAAGTTAAGTAGGAAACATCATGGATTGTGGGTGTAAATATTTATATTTCATATAATATATATATATAGATATACACATAGATATAGGTATATAGATATTCTCTCCACCAATAACGATTGCAACCCTTCTTCATCTTAGTAAAGCGGCATTGTAGCTAAAATTCACCAGCTTGTGGCCAGCATCCTGCTCATTAGCCTCACTGTACTTAGCCTGGTGAGCAGCTAGGTGGTATAGTGCATAGAGTGCCAGGCCTGGAGTCAGAAAGACCTGAGTTCAAATCTGGCCTTACACACTTAATAGCCATATGACCCTGGGCAAGTCACTTAACCCTGTTTGTCTCAGTTTCCTCATCTATAAAATGAGCTGGAGAAGGAAATGGTAAACCACTTTAGTGTCTTTGCCAAGAAAACCCCAAATGGGGTCACAGTCAGACAAGACTGAAATGACTGAACAACAACAAACATAGCAAAGCCACACATCTCATTCCTAGGTCCATATTCAAACCTTTTTTGAGCTTAATTAACCTATCTGTGCTTGCATTCTTATATCATAACCTTCAAAAGCCCAGGATCACTTCCAGCCACAAAAAATGTCAAGGATATACATGTACACTTTGGTTTACATGCAGATTGTATATACCTGTACCTTTTTTTAGGCCCCTCATTAGATGCCCTTTTATGGCATCTAAATATTGTATATTTAATTCAGTACATTAGAAGACATGTGTGCTTCATCTTACTATCCCCTAGAAGAAAAGGATCTTAGTATCTAGTCCAAAGTCCTCATATTACCATATCACCACCTCCTGTAAACTCTAGTGATTGCTTGTTATCTGTAGGATCAAATATAAAATCTTCTATTTGGCTTTTAAAGTCCTATACAACTGGCCCCCCTTCCAGTCTCCTTACACCCCACTTTTCTCCACATATTCTAAGCTCCAGAGACCCTGGCCTCCTTGCTGTTCCTCACACGATACTCCAGCAGTTTCACTGGATGTCTCCGTATGCAAAATGCCCTCCCTCTTCATCATTCAATCCCCAGCTAAAATTCTACCTTCTGCAAGAAGTCTTTTCTTGATCTTCACTAATCTTAGTGCCTTTCCTCTGTTGATTATCTCCAATTTATCCTGGATATATCTTGTTTTTATGTAGTTGCTTGCATGTTGTTTCTCATTAGAATGTGAGCTCATTAAACAGCAGGAACTATAGTAAATGCTTAAATGCATTAACTGACTGACTGAGGTTGCAAGAATCTAAGTGACTTGTCTAGTCATACAGGACCGGAATTTGAGCCTGTGTCCTTGAACTCCCAAATCTTAATCTAATGCACTTGGCTCACCCACGATGAGAAAATGAGACAACTGCCCCTGTCTCAGAGCATTTACGTTGGTGTTCTCAAGGGGACACAGGTCACCTTAGCTCTCAATTTATAATGGCCTTTGTAAATTCTGGAATGTGATTAACTTTGTCTCTCCCTCCCCTAGTGGCAAACTAACCAAGCAATGTGTCCCTGTTTCCTCTGTGTTTTGCAATAGAGAATTCTCAGCAGATGAAAATCAAGTCTGAACCAAATTAAAGTCTCCCCACTTGACCTTTTAATCGTGTCCACAGTTCACTACTAGAGCATCTCTATTGTCGCTGACTTTCTAGCTTATCCACAGTCCAGCCTTCTGTTCACTTACACCTGGGACTTAGCTCTTTCTTTTCCTATTACAGCCCAAAGTGAGGCCCAGTTATTTCAAATATTACATCCCCAAGTGCTATAACCCTTCCATTTCTGAGGAGTGTTTAACATTAAAGAAATGGTTACTTTGCTGGATATTGAGGGACTTTTTCAGACACATAGAACAGAAAGTTCTATGTATGTGAGTGACCCTTACCATCTTGCATTTTTTCAATTATGAATAGCTGTTGGAATGTGACCTTTGAAAACTTCTTTAGTCCACTTTTTGACTCTAGACCCAGCCTCCAAAGTCATAGGATCATAGAAAGCCCTAGAAAGGACCACAGGATCCTCTTAACAGGAGTTCATGGGGACCTTTGCTTAGGCAGGGGTCCATAACCTTGGATGGGGAAAATACATCTTTATTTTCACTAATTTTTAAGTGAAATTTAGCATTTCCTTCAAGTATTTATAAACATTATTCTGAAGTTTCCCTTGACTGCCAAAATTGTCCATGACATGCAAAAGGCTAAAAATCAAGGATCCAGACTATCTTTGTCTCCCTGCTCTCATTTTATTGATGATAAATAGTGAGGTTCATATTGATTAATGAGTAATTTGACCAAAACCAAATGGGTTGTAACAGAATTTGGAATCCAAGCCCAGGCCTTGTGATTCCAATTTCAGCGCTTACCTCATTAAATGGCTTGAACAAATTGCTTCCTTTTTCTGAGCCTGTTTCCTCATCTGTAAAATGGAGGTGACAATACTCGCCTACCTCACTGAATAAACCTTAAAGACCTATGGAGACAACTGTGACCTGTTGGGTTATTCAACACAGATGAGGCTAGCCTTAAAATCTTGGATTGTCAGATAACGATAAACCTTAGAATTTTAGAACTAGAAGGGACCTCAGAAGGTCTTTTCTCATCCAACCTCTTTAAAGCCCTAGCTCATGGTTCTGTAGTGCTTTACACATTTGTGGAGTGCTTTCCTCACAACTAGAGTGTAAGGCAGATAGTTCCTTCCCTCCATTTTACAGGTGAAGAAACTGAGGTTCAGATTAACTGACTTGCCCTCATTCATGGGCTACTCATTGGTGGAAGAGGAACTCAAATTACAGGCGTTTTGACTCCCAGGCCAGAGTTCTCCCATTGTGTCATTTGGCTTCATGGAATAGGTGTTGCTAAGAACCCTAAAGGCTAATAATATCTTAGTGAGGAGGATAAATTAAAAAAAAAACCAAACCACAGACCACCCCCCTCCAGAGATTTCATCATTTTGTCTTTCTCACACACTCTACCCATGGTCTATGTCCTCTGCCTTCTCTCCATCCCCTACACACACACACACACACACACACACACACACCCTTCCCTTGCTACACACGAGCTTTGCTGGTGTGGCAATCTGACTCATTTGTCACATGCTCCTACACAAGGGAGCTTCCTTTCCCCCTCTTTCTTTCTCTCTCTAGCTCACAGCCCAATTTTTCTCTTATAAAGGGGAACCTTGGGGCATCCTTGCCTGCCTTAATTCCTGCTCCAAAGGAGACTCCTCATCTTAGGAAAACCCTCTCACTTGACTGCTTCATATTTAAGGACCTTGGAAGGTCTGCTTTAAGTAAGCAGGCTCGACTCATTGGCTGGGTAAGGTATAAGCCAAGTTCAATAACTGTGCCTACCCGATCATGCCACCAGGATGAACATGGTAGACTATTAGCACTGAAAGGTGCCTCGGAAGTCATTCATCAGCGATCAATCAATAAGCATTTATTAAGCACCTACATAGTATCAGGCACTATGCGGAATTTCCACAGGCCTCCCCAACAGGGCTGTCCAGGCTCCAGTTTTGAGAAGCTCACTGCCTTATTAAAAACCTATTACATTGTTACTTCTAAGTGTATGAAGTTGTTTCCTATATTAAACTGCTTTCCTATAACTTCCATCCACATGAGGCCATGGCATAGTGTATAAAAGACTGGGCTTGGAGTTGGGAAGACCTGATTTAGGAGCTGCATCTGGTGCTAACATTGTAGACACTGATATGTCACAACCTCTCCTTTACCAGCCAATAAAGACTATATGCAATAGATCAGTTGGCTTCAATGGGAGTTTCTTGAATGGATCAAATCACAAGTCCCAAACAAATGGGGTGGGGGTGAGGAGCAACCTTCCACCCAGATCCCCAGAGGGAGAAGCCAGAATTAATGTTT